AGCGTGCGGCAAGAAATGAGAAAAAACTTCAAGGAAAATGTTTTAACTCAAGGGTAACTATTTTCAAAATGTCTAGAAATTAGCAAAAAGAAGCAAGACCGTCTTATCTTTCCTCTAATTTGAGGTGAACCGACAGCGTTTTCTGTACTTCATGGGGAAAGGCATCCTAATAAAAACACAGAAAAGTATAACACAAATCTGTTTTGTTTTTTTTTCAAAACTGTAGAGAGAACGATCCATATCAATTAATGAAGCGAATAGAAGAAAATCCAAAATAGCCCACCTCTGCTCTGTAGAATTTAATAACGTCGTCACCAGAAAGCGTTTGTCAAGTGAGGACTGCACTTCCGATGATCACAGCTTCCCTCTATCAGAGAATGCGCATGCGCATGATAGACTCAAAGTAGAGGCAGATTGTCAGAAAGAAACACTTAATAGACAGGTTATTGACATCTCAAAATTATGATAATCAGATAACTCGATAGTGATAACCGGAAGTTCCGCGAATAAGGGACTTACCCGACCAGTTCCTTTCGCAACTAAAATTGCAAGGTTAGAGTTTCAGTTTCCATTGTTGAACAAGTATGAAACTCATTAGGAATTGATTTGTGCTTTTTCTTGGCAAAATACTTTTTTCTTAGACTAATGGTTACCCCGAATCCACCAAAAGTGCAGCCTAAACACAGCCATTAAGCCGCGACTGAAGAGACCTCTAAGAATTCAACTGTCTTACTGATAGTTCACGATTTAAAGGTTTTAATATTCCTCCTTCTTATCTTAAATTTCTAACGGTTAACTAAAACGAAATACCACGTTGTTCAGGACGTTTGCTGATGAAAATAATGTTACCTTAAAGACTTCGATACGGTTCCACAAGTTCTACCACTTTGTTTCATCGAAATTAAAACAATGGCCTGTCTTCGAGAATATCTAACAGTAAAGAAATGATTGTGGTGTTCTCAGTTTGACAGTTTCAGTTTCAGTCAGGTAGTATGAAAAGGAGCCGGCATCAGTTAACATCAACCTGAGTAGTAAGACTAATGATTAAATCACAGACGATGACTAAAGGAACTGAAAGAAAACGCAAGAAACCCATATCGCACAAAAAAGAAAAGCAATAATATTTACCTGACGAACCCTACGTTTTCATCCTGAACAGAAAAATCGAATTAGCTTGAGGGCTGAAATGTATTTCGCTCTCGTATGCAAATTAGTCAGCATAAACAGCTTCGACACAATACACTAATTCATACTTATACAAACACTATTTCAAGTTGGCAACTTTTGGTTTTGATCCCATATAAAGAGAAGTGGTTTAAAACTTCCGCCATTCAAGTGAAAAATGGTTCGCCATCTCCTTCTCTGTCTCTTCGTCGGCTTCTTTCTTCATCTCACAATAGTTCAGGCCTTCTTCTGCAACGACAACAGCTGTGGAAGATGCGTAAACTCCAGATTATTTAAATGTCGATGGTGTAAACGAGATAATGAATGTCACATGCCTGGCGCCGTTCCGGCAAATCCTTGCAAGGGAGCGGAAAATATTGCGGCGATATCTCATTGTGATGACGAACTGTCGTATTACGATCCTGAATTATCCTACAAGATGTTGCTTCTTTCTGCTGCAGCATACGACTCCGTGAACCCACAAGAATGCCTTAACAATTCCCTCCAATCCGACAAGTTCCAGCTTCGAGTTGTAGCGTCAAAGCGTTGCGACGACTTCAATAACAGCTGCTCAGGCTATGTCGCTGTTTCACATGCGTTAAAAGTCATCGTAGTCGCTTACCGCGGCTCCGTGGGTTTCACTCAATCATCAGCAATAGCCGTGGAAACTTTCCTTACACCCATGACAGCATTCTTTCGTGGCAAAGTTCAAACCTACTGGAAGAGAGGTTTCGAGTTGTTATGGCAGGCAAACATGAAAGCGGAAGTGGAGGCTCTCATATCGAAAAATCCAACATACAAAATTTGGGTCGCAGGGCATTCTCTGGGTGGTGCAATGGCATCGTTGGCCAGCACCTGGATCAGTTCTTTTAACTTAGCTCCCCGCAAAAACATCATTCTGTACACGTTCGGCATTCCTCGAGTTGGAAATTACGACTATGCCCTGCAACATGATCAACTGGTTAACAACAGTTGGAGAGTTGTAAACGAAAACGACTTGATTCCTCATTTCCCCTTGATAATTGGAGTCCCTAGTGTCCTAACTGGTCCATATCACCATGGTGTAGAAGTATTTTACAGTGACGGGGCTCCAAGCGTTTATTCAAAGCACAGAGAGTGTCACGGGAAACCATACAATGAAGATGCTTCATGCAGCTTCGCTGAAAAGCCCCTTTCTATCAAACGGCATTTAACCTACTTCAGTATTCCAGTGAGCACCTTTTGGAAAACAAGATGCCTTCACCGTCCATGATCCAAGAGCGAAAAGCACCTGAAGGCTCCACTGACGGAATTTTTAGATGGATGAGTTTGACGTATACACTAGTCAATTAGATTTTTAATGTAAGAAAAAGAAACAGTAAAAAAAAACGAGTTAGATAAATTTCGCGGACAGTATTGATGAGCAGCGACGACAAAGTTCATGTTACCTCTACGTTTACTTATTCGATGCAGTAGAAGTGTAAAGAGTCTTGTAAAACTCGATTTTCAAGAAATCTAACGCGTTTAATCTTGTCTTATAACTAGGTGATTCAATTAAGTGTATG